GTGTGGCCTGCAAAATGCGCCATCTTTCTCAAGGTGTTACGCTTTTTATTCTGTAAGAAACCCCAGGCTGCTTTCAGAAGAAACACATAAAACAGCAGTAACGTGCAGCTCATACCTAAATACCCTCCTGGCCACAAAACAAGACAGAATGTTCCGGCATGGAGGGAGGACAATACTTGTTTCTTGGGGAGGAAAGAACATTATCAACTAAGTGCATTTGACTGACAGTCCACTTTTGAGAAAAAGAAACCAAAACGCAGTGCCTCCCTGGTAATTAAAAACTTGGGTCCTGCAGCCACTGCCCTAGGTCATTCTTGTGCCCCCAGGGGACGGTCTCCCCAACTTTGGGTAACACTGAACTAAAGTACTAGGTGTTCCATAGCACCTTCTCAGTCTTGACCGCCTGGCCAGGAAGGACCACTGAGGGATGCTGACTACCATCTCAGAAGCCCTGACGGAGCAGTGGCTGTTGACTGCAAGGTTGGCAGTTCAACCCCACCTAGCAGTGCAGCGCAAAAGAAGTTCCGGGAGCTCTCCCAGAAGGATTACAGTCTTGGAAACTACAAAGCGACTTCAAAACTGCGGGGAAATGAAAATTTTCCTGAACTTTTTGATGCTCTCTGTATAGTTTTACTCTGTACATGGGGTCACTCTGAGTCAAAAATAGACTCCGCATCCAGTACTATTTTTCAACTTGAGCAAGCTTTCCCGAGCAGGTGGCGGGGGAGGAAGTGGATGAGTAAGGAGCACATGCTGTGCAGGCTTCTGAACTTGGATTAGCACCTCAGCGGGGAGCCTATAAGGGCTGGGGGCTGGCTTGCCTCCAGAGAGGTCAGGGAAGCTCTCGAGCAGCGGTTCTCAACCTTCCTAATGCCACGACCCTTTAATGCAGTTCCTCATGTGGTGGTAACCCCCCCCCCCAACCATAAAATTACTTTCATTGCTACTTCATAACTGATTTTGCTACTGTTATGAATTGGGTGACCCCTGTGAAAGGGTCATTTGACCCCCAAAGGGATTGTGACCCACAGGTGGAGAATCGCTGCTCTAGAGGGACTTTGTCGCCAAATGTAGATCCCCAAAGGAAGAAAGCACTTTGATGGGTTACATATCTCATACTCAAAAAAAAAAAAAAGAAAAGAAAAGAAAGAAAAGTCAGTTGAATAATGGCTTAGATTTAATAAGAGAGATTAGAGAAATGATTAGGAACAAAGTACATGTGAGAAAAATCTGCCCAATGTAGTAAATAGAAAATGTATTGGACATGATCCCATTCATCACATGTTAATAGATAGATGGATATTTCATCCCATTACCTTGCTGTAGAGTTATTTCCTACCCAAAACACTATCCAAGCTCACTGCCATCATGTCAATGCCAACCCACAGCAACCCTATAGGACAGGGTAGAGCTGCCCCTGTGAGTTCCCGAGACTGGCACAGACTACAGCAGTAGACAGCCTCATCTTTCTCCTGAGGAGCAACTGGTGGTTTCAAACTGCTGACCTTGCAGTTAGCAACCCACTATATAACCATTATGTCACTAGGACTCCCGTTCTACCCTAGTGGACCCTATATATGGTTCCCAAGACTTTAAATCTTGACAGGGGTAGACAGCCTCATCTTCCTCCCCAGGAACAATGGGTGGGTTTGAACAGCTGACCTTTTTTTGATGAGCAGTTCACCATTTACCCAACAACGCCACCAAGGCTCCCCAGGCCTAAGCACATCTTCTAAAGAGTCCAAACAAGAATTGCTGGTTCTGTTCTGTGGAAGATTAGGAATTTGGAAGAAGTCTCCCAGTGAAGTTAATACCACTATTCAATGTCAGGGGAAAAATCCTTTTGAGGAGGTACAAGAGAAGAAAATAGGGAATATGCAGGCCAAAGCCAGAGAAAGAAGGAGAACTCAGCGGGGAGGGGAACCTGGAAGCTGAGCTGAAGGGAATTTGCAGAACCAGGTTCACCTGAGCATTGGGTTTCAGGGACGGTAAGCAACACTGAGAGCCTCCTTCCCAGGCTGGGAGCCTCCTGAGAAGCTGTTCTCTTAAGGGGAATGTAATCACATGATCATTTCAGCATAATTGAAGGAAATCCAGTGATTCATTCACAATTTAAAAAACAAAATTCTTAACAGTCTAGGAACAAAAGGAAACTTCTTTAACCTGAGAAAACTATCAGAGAGCAAACAAGCAAACGCTATACCTAACGGGAAACATCATTTCATCTAAGTTTGGGCATTAACATGCGCATCCACTGTCTTCACTTCGGTTCAAAGGTACATAAAAGACCCTGAGGAGGCCAAGAGGGTAAAAGGAAAAGAAGAGGGATTCTGATTGGTTGCAGGAGTCAGTAAGCTTATTCAAAATACTCAAATGCACACTTACCTTATGATTGCAAATGGTAGCTTAACATTTTTATAAGAAATGAATAACCCCCTCATTGTCTTTACACCTTAAACCAAAACAACTAACCAACCAAAAAAAAAAAACAACTCAGAGACCCTGTAGAAATGGGTAGAACTGTCCCTATGGGTTTCCAAACCTTCCAGTTCACAGGCGCACATGTCACCGCTATGGCACCAGGTCTTAAAACCGCACACTCAGCTCAAAGAGTAAAGCAGGTCTGCCCTGAGCATTGTGCCCTTTCGAGAACATGCTGTGTCAGAGCAAATGGACAGCGGCAACGAGAAAGGCCAGATGGAACCTCAGGGGACAGTCAGCTTGCGTTCCCAGGGGGAGAGCGGCTCAGAAAAGGAGGGGGGAATAGCTGGACCACTGGAAGGGTGGTGACCCGTGTCCCTGATCGCACCGCATGGACATGGTTTAAATTCGGCTGTGTAGATGCTCAGCAACAAAAGTAAAATAAGGGGTGAAGAACAAATTTATTATTCACAGATTATATTACTGTCTGTCAGTGGTTCCCAACCTTCCTAATGCTGCGACCCTTTCATACAGTTCCTCGTGTTGTGGTGACCCCCCACAACCGTAAAATTATTTACGTTGCTACTTCATCACTAATTTGGTTACTGTTTTGAATCGGGTGACCGCTGTGAAAGGGTCGTTCGACCCCCAAAGGGGTCGTGACCCACAGGTTGAGAACCACTGGTCTATGTAGACCCCTGACTAAGGCAAAAAAGCATCAATTGCTGCTAAGGAGTTTCTAACTCAGCAATACGAGCCGCACCAGTGGGCCTCCATCGGTGTTTAAAGAGCAGACCTGCATGGAGCCGCTGGTGGGGGTAATTAGCAGCTGACTTAGTAAGAGTTTAGCTATGCTACTGGACACAAAATCAATATACGAAAAAGAAAAATCAACCCTATTTCTATACATCAGTTAAAAAACAATTTTAAAGGAGAGCCCCTTTATTGTTGGGAGCTATTGAGTCCACTGCCTCACCGCGACTCCACGTGACAAAGCCCTTGGCTGTCATCTTCATGGAAACCGATCACCAGGGCATCTCCCAGGGACCCTCTGGGTAGGTTCAAACGGCAGCTTCTCAGTTAGGAGCGGTGTGCTTAACCCTTTGTGCCACCAGGGCAAATCTTCCAACAGTGTTGAAACACACCAGCAGTCCTTGAATTATGAATGCGTTCCTCTTTTGAATCTATCTTTAAGTCAAATTTGTGCAAAAATCAAAATAGTTACTATTCGTATCTAATGTTAGTCAAATGTTTGCTTTCTGTACAGCACATTTCTCTGTACATTAAAAAAAAAGGTTTCTCTTTAGGTGGCCCGGAACTACCATATAGTTACTATTTTAGTTCCCTGAGTGTTATTTATAGTTTTGCCCTATCACCAACCCCCACTGTTTGTGTAAATAGTGTCTAGTCACTTAAGGGTTTAAT